GTGTCCCCCCCAGAACGGTGACCACTACCCGTGTCTGGATGACCTGGAGGGGCTGGTGGCGGTGGGCAGGGACCTGCCGGTGCGGCTGGAGGAGCTGCGGCAGCTCGAGGTGCAGGTCGGCACCGCGCACTCCTGGCGGGACAAGGCCTCCCGCACCTTCCTCAAGAAGAACTCCTGCTACACCCTGCTCGAGGTGGGTGCCGGGGGGCTCCGGGGTGTGGGGAGGGGTCCCAGCTCGGCTCTGACTCCCCTGGTGTCCCCCAGGTGCTGTGTCCCTGCGCTGACGCCGGCTCAGACAGCAGCAAGAGGCTCAAGTGGCGGCAGGAGCCGGGGCTGTACCGGCTGGATGCCGAGAGCTTGGGACTGTCGGCGCAGGACCTGCGGGACCCCGGTGCTGTGGTGAGGAGGGGGACGTGGGGGGCACTCTGGGACCCCCATCCCTGCTCTCGTCTCCACTGTCCCAGCTGACCCACATCCCCCTCGTTCCTGTCACCTCTCATGTTGCTGATTTTCCCTGTGTCCCTGATTGTGGCATTTAAGGATTTGGGATGGGGGGCACCCACATCCCCCCCCATTCCTGTTAACTCTCACACTCCTGATTATCCCCCCTCAGTTCCTTTCACCTTTCACGTTCCTGATTTTCCCTGTCCCCCAGATTGTGGCATTCAAGGGTTTGGGATGAGGGACACCCACATCCCCAATCTGTGTCACCTTTCACACTCCCAATTTCTCCCCAGATCAAGCATGCAGGGGTTTGGGGATGGGTCACATCCAACCCTCCCATCCCTTGTCACCCTCACACCCCTCTTCTTCCCTAAATCATGGTGTTTGGGGTTTGGGGATGGGTCACCCCAATCCCTGTCACCATCACACCCCTCTTCTTCCCTAAATCATGGTGTTTGGGGATGAGTCACTCCAATCCCTGTCACCCTCACACCCTGCTTTGCCCCATTCCAGATCGTGGCATTCAGGGATTTTGGAATGGGTCACCCCAATCCCTGCCACCCCCACACCCCACTTTGCCCCTCTCCAGATCATAGCATTCCGGGATTTTGGGATGGGTCACCCAATCCCTGCCACCCTCACACCTCACTCCAGATCATGGCATTCAGGGATTTTGGGATGGGTCACCCAATCCCTGTCACCCTCACACCCCGCTTTGCCCCTCTCCAGATCGTGGCGTTCAAGGAGGGCGAGCAGAAGGAAAAGGAGGGCATGCTCCGCCTGCGCCACGCCAACGCCCAGAAAGCCGCGCCACCTCTGCCAGGCCCGGGGCCACCATCCTGCGTGTGYGGCCAGCCGGCCGGGCCGGCCATGCTGCAGTGCCAGCTCTGCCGTGACTGGTTCCACGGCTCCTGCGTGGCCTGGCCCCGCCTGGGCGCCCAGAAACCCTCGCCGGCCTGGTGGGAGTGGGACGCCAAGTTCCTGTGCCCGCTGTGCCAGCGCTCRCGGCGGCCGCGCCTCGAGACCATCCTGGCGCTGCTGGTGGCCCTGCAGAAGCTGCCGGTGCGGCTGCCCGAGGGCGAGGCGCTGCAGTGCCTCACCGAGCGAGCCATCACCTGGCAGGACCGTGCCCGCCAGCTCCTGGCATCCCCCGACGTGGCCGGGCCACTGGAGCGCCTGGCGGCCCTGCGGCACCGGCTGCACCACGGGGATGGGGACGGTGCCCTGCGCGAGGCCAGCCGTAACGAGCAGACCAAGGTACAGAAATTGGGGGCATTTGGGGGATTTCTGGGGGGTTTATGGGGTTTCGGGGGGGAATTGGGGTGTCAGAACCCTGCACGGCCCCGTGGCACTGGCTGCACTGCAGGGATGGTGATGGTGTCCTGCGCGAGGCCAGCCGCAACGAGCAGACCAAGGTACAGAAATTGGGGGCATTTGGGGGATTTTTGGGGGGTTTAGCGGGTTTCAACGGGGGATTTGGGGTGTCAGAGCCCTGCATGGCCCTGTGGCACCGGCTGCACCACAGGGATGGTGATGGTGCCCTGTGCGAGAATGAGCAGACCAAGGTACAGAAATTGGGGGCATTTGGGGGATTTGGGGTGTCAGACTTCTGTGTGAGGCCAGCCACAATGAGTAGACCAGGGTATGGGAATTGGGGGGATTTGGGGGATTTACGGGCTTTTGGGGCTCCAGGGGCAATTTTGGGCTTATGGGGTGGCTTTGGGGGGCTTGGGCTGTTTTTGGGGCCCAGCCCCCCTGAACACTTTCCCTTCCCTCCATAGGTGTCAGTGGAAAACGGGGACGCCCCCAGCCCGGAGAAGAACGGCCCCCTGCCCTCGGGTGAGTGGGGTCAGAGGCTTGGGGACCCACTGGGATCCACCAGATCCCACCTGTGCAGCTTCAGGAGGGGCTGGGGCATCCAGGGATCCCTGGTGAGCTCAGGGGTGCTAGGGGGATCTCATGGATCTGTAGGGGATCCCATGAGAGTTCAGGGACAGGGATTCTGTTGATTCCATGGGATGCAGGGGGTGCTGCAGGATTTGGTGGATCCCTGGTTGGTTTAGGGAATGTTGTGGGGCTGCAGGGATCCGGCATGAGATCCCACAGGATCCCAGTGTCACCACAGTGTCCCCACAGAGCTGGGGCGCCCACCCAGTGCAGGAACCCCCTGTCGTGTCCCGAGGAGTGACACAATGCTCCAGTGTCCCTGTGCTGTCCCCAGGGGTGACAGAAAGTCCCCACAGTGTCCTCACCTCCCTGTACAGCTGGAGGTGCTGAGCCGGTGTTCCTGCTGCTGGAACCTTCCTTTGTCCCTGTGTCCCCAGGATGTCCCCACAATGTCCCCTGTCCCTGCAGAGCTGGAGGCACTGAGTGTGGCACTGCTATCAGGCTCCAGGGCCCAGTGCTGGAGCTGGCCCTATGTCCCTGTGGTGTCCCCCTGGTTGTCCCTATGATGTCCCCATGATGTCCCCATGTCCCCGCAGAGCTGGAGGCGCTGAGCGCAGCGCTGCCGCGGCTCCAGGGCCCGGTGCTGGAGCTGGCCCCGTGTCCCCGTGGTGTCCCCACAATGTCCCCATGATGTCCCCATGTCCCCACAGAGCTGGAGGCGCTGAGCGCGGCGCTGCCACGGCTCCAGGGCCCGGTGCTGGAGCTGGCCCCATGTCCCTGTGGTGTCCGTATGATGTCCCCATGATGTCCCCATGTCCCCACAGAGCTGGAGGCGCTGAGCGCGGCGCTGCCAAGGCTCCAGGGCCCGGTGCTGGAGCTGGCCGAGGGCACGCGGCGGCCGCTGGAGGAGCTGATGATGGAGGGGGACCTGCTGGAGGTGACGCTGGACGAGGCCCA